TGCTCTGGCATCCACGCAGTTCCCCACAGCTCTTCCCTCCCTTTCGTTAGGCGTGGCTCCATCTGAGTGTACTCCGCCTCCGAACAAGACTGGAGATTGTGATGCAGCAGATATCTGTTCACTTTAAGCAGTGACTTTCTCCTTTCTTTCAAACCTTTTATGTCTTTCAAACATCACTATTAACTAAAACTTTCTGAAAATTCCATTAGAATTAGTAACAGGGGGGTGATATGGGTGTCCTGACCCACTTTACCCCAAGTCAATCTTCCAGGCTCCTCCTCAGCTCTTTACCACTGTTTTCAGAGTCAAAGTTGAGCTTCCAATTTACTCATTAGTTGATATACATTAAGGCTTGGGTCTGAGAGTCCTTTTTCATTATCCAAAGCAGGGGGTAGTGGGCGGCCAGAGGAAACCGATGGGGGATGTTGCTCTGTATGCTGTGAATGTGTTGCTCTGATTGCTGGTAAATAAAATGCTGATTGGCCAGTAGCCAGGCAGGAAGTACAGATGGGATGAGCAGAGAAGGAGAATTCTGGGAGAGGAAGGCTGAGTCAGCAGACGCCAGCCCGTCATCCAGGGAGCAGCATGTAAAGGCACACAGGTAAAGCCCACGGAACATGTGGCAACATATAGATTAACAGAAATGGGCTGAGTTTAAATGTAAGAGCTAGTCAGTGGTAGGCCTGAGCTAATGGCTGAGCAATTTTAATATAAGCTTCTGAGTGATTATTTTATAAGCGGCTGTGGGGTCCATGGGGCTGGGCAGGACCAGAGAAAATACCAGCTACAAAACCATGCTTCCGAAGCCTTAACTGGGAGGCTTTTGACTATGGTGTTGGATGAGTAAAGGTCCTCAGATCTCTTTTGAACCTCCATGACACTGCTACACTACAACAAAGCCCCGACAGTGAGCTGCAGAAATTCATACATGGTGGGCCTGATATATGCTATGAACCATATCATCTGGGCCATGATCACATCACTGATCTTTGAATTTTACAATGTACACACAAACACATTAATAGGAGTATAGTATAGCACAACTGAGGCATAAAAGGAGTCCTGTAGCTTCCACTCCAGAGTTACCAATCTTATCCAAATACCTTCTGAAAATATAATCATGGGGCCAAGCATGGTGGTGGCACATGCCTTTAATCTCAGCACTCAGGAGGCAGAGGCAGGAAGATCTCAGTGAGTTAGAAGCCTGGTCTACATAGAGAGCTCCAGGACATCCAAGACTACATAGAGAGCCCTGCCTCAAAAAAAGAAAAGAAAAAAGAAATGCAATCATGGTTATATGGATTTTCCTTCTTATCTTTTTTTCTTTATTCATTTAATATTCCAACCACAGATTCTCCTCTCTTCCCTCCTCCCACTCCCCAGTCTCGCCCCCCCCAACCCCCCCATCCCCTCCTCTGACAAGGTAAGTTCTCGCATGGAGAGCAGCATAGACTGGTACACTCAGTTGAGGCAGGTCCAAGCCTTTCCCCCTGCACCAAGGCTGTGCAAGGTGTCCCACCATAGGTAATGGGCTCCAAAAAGCCAGCTCGTGTACCAGGGATTCCTTCTTATCTTATACAACAGGAGAAATTCCGAAGTTGGCCTCTACTTACTGAATGCCCTATCAAGGCCTGCTGTGCTTTGAATGTGTCCCCACAGGTGTTGCCAATGTGATATTATTAGACGGCCAGGGCTTGAAAAAGTTATGTGATGAAGGATCACTTCTCATGAATGGAACTAAGGCTACTATAAAAGAAGTTTCATGTAGGCTTCAGCTGGCTTCTTCTCATGCTTCCCGCCCCTTGAAGACAAAGTCCTCTATAGACGCTGGAGACTAGACATAAGACTCCCCAACTGAATTATGAAAACCATGTTTCTGGTCCTTATAAATTATTAAGTTATTTTTTTAACCTTCTTTTTTTTCATTTTGAGAATTACATTGAGAGAGAGAGAGAGGGAGAGAACAATCAGAACATACATGTGAAGCCAAAGGAAATCTTGTGGGAGTTGGTTCTCTTCATCCAACACATGGGTCCTGGAGATTAACTCAGGCCATCAGTGGTGCAGCAGCCACCTTAATTTGTTGCACCCCTCACGGTGCAGCCTATGGTATTTTGGTATTGTGACAGAAAACAAATGAAGACAAGCCTGCACTACGGTTTTCAGTTTTACTGAGTAAGATTTCATAAGCATCATGCTCCAACTTCTATTAGCAATACCTCTCCAAACATGGAATTTCACTAGTTTTTTTTTTATTGTTTTGACAACTTTTTATATGCATACAATGCATTGGGATATAATACATTTATATTTAATATATTTACAATTATTTATGTGCATATTTACCCCCATAGCTCAACTTTACCACCCACCCCCCACTGTCTTAGTTTCCTATCGCTGTGAAGAGACACCAAGACCAAGGCAACTCATAGAAGAAAG